ATGAAGATCGGCTTTAGAGCTGGAATGTTTCTTTTCACGGAGCGGGGGCTCGTTCCCACGCCCACATAGCAAAAAAATGAGTGAACGGTTGGATTTAAAATGACAACTTTAGTCGTCAATGGCAGTGACTGAGTTAAGAAAAAGCATCAAAGTCTTTCTAATGGTCTAAAACCAGTTTCATTTATTATCCATAAATAATGTTTACAGAATATGAGACATTATTTACTAAATTCAGTGGATGGTTGGCAAATGTTCATGAATGAAACTTTAATCATTTTTTCAGAAAACATTTAGTGCTTTTTTATTTTTTCTGGGCCGGTTGAACGAGGACACAGGAGTAGTTATACCTGAATCTTCATGTCTCAGCTTTGCACCCGTAACAACACATGCATGTTATGATGTAACTCCAGTGTTTTCCCCTGCCTGTGTTCCCAGTCCCTTCTCACTTTCCTCGCTTTTTTTTCCACCCTGGTCTCTAGACAATGAGGATTAATGCGATGCGGTCACAAGTTGTCTATTTATACCACCAACAACGTATGGAAGAGTAGCAGCGTGTGGCTTTGCACATTAACACGGAACGCTACAACACAGCAGATGCTTCCATTTCGGTTTGGTGACACTGCTGTGCAGAGAATTTGTATCATTGTTCTTAGAAATGCCCATATGTGCTGTGGCTTCATGTCATGGGTGGAAATTTGTCCATGTCTTTATTTTTACTTTTTTTTGGGGGGTGGGGGGTGGGGGGGGGGTCCCTGTGAGGTTGCACAAGGTTAATCTAAAATATCTTAACTCAGATCACCATTCTGCGGTCATTAGTGCTCATCTGGTGTCTTATAAATTGCTGGCGGGGGCTTCAAACATCTCATTAATAAATCATTCGGGGAAAATAACAGATGACACAACCGGGTTCTCATTCCCTTTAGAGAAGTCACGTGCAATTTCTTTTTTTACCAAATGCTTTTTTCCATTCCTGTGGTTTGTTATGTCATTTGGAAAGTACGTTGGTAAAATTTTATTAAAGCGTCATGACATTATTGAGTTTCATTCCTGCCATGGTTGCATTTTACCTTATCTGTGTCTTATCATAAACAACTCAGACACTTTTACTTTTATTTTTTCATGTCCTTTTTTAGTCTGATTTCTTCTCTTCTTTTAATCGTCCCTTCTTGTCTTATGCCTCTAAGCTAATCTTACTCTTCTCTTGTTGCCAGCACCAGATCTGTATCTTCGCTCGGTTGGCCATCTCCACGCAGGTTAAAAATAACTATCAACATTTTTTGCTTCATGTCCTGAGAGGTCCACTTTCTTCTCACACTTGAGGAACCATGGGAAAAGAATCTTTCCCTTACGCACATGGCCCTCATAATAACAAACGGGGTATACATAAAACATCCAGGCTCACGCGTTCGTTTTTGAAAGCTTAGCTCAAACACACACAGAATAAAGCCTCGTTCGCTCCAGGATCACAGCGCTAAAATAGTAAGGTTAGAAGAACAGTGAGACTGTTTGTACTGAAACAAAACTTGCGCTGTGGGAAAGCAGAGGACTTTTCTGCTGCTGTGTAAGTATTGGAAAACTGCTGAAACAACAAACCGAGATAAATGTCCGCAGGGGAAGAAAGAAACAGACTAAGACAAAAAAAATGCAGATTTGGAGGGAAAAGTTTAACACGAGTAAGGAGATAATTGCTGCGAGTTCAGGTGTGGAGCGGTGTCAATGTGCACTAAAGCTGGGAGCGCAGGGAGAATTCATGGGGGTGGCAGGTCAGACACTGCTGACACACTCGGATCAGCATTGAGATTGTTTCCACTGGAAGGAATTCCAGGAATGAGCTAGAAGAGCTATCAATGACTTCACTTGGAGGACAACAGTTTTAATGCTCAGCCAGGCACACGCACACACATGCTCTCACACACTTTTAAAGATACCATGCCTCACTCCAACAGTGGTGTGTGAGACAATGTCCGTCGCCCCTGTACTGTGGGCTCAGTGAACACAGCTGCTGATAGCTCTGATCTGCGACAGGGTCATTAAAGGGTTTAGTTAAGGTGTTCCAAAAGGATCCTTTAAATATTTCTAACAAGTATATAAAACCATGTCATGGCCAATTAAGCCACCGTCAGTTCTAGGAACAATCAGAGTTTACAAAATAGATCAAGTCATTTAGTAAATATGATTTACCAAGGGCTTAAGACACAGTCATCACTTTCAATGAACTGATTTATTAGCTCTTTCTTTGATGGATGATCTCTCATGACATCATAAGCTCGTGTGGGATCTGTACTCATGTACACGTAGCTGGGCTTTGGTATAAATATCCTCCACCACCCACGTAGGAAAAAACCATTTTATGTTGAGCAGAAAATCCATTGCTTGTGAAGCACGTTAATAAGCATGCCAAGCCTGAAGGTGGCAAGTTCCCCAAATCTTTAGCGTTTTTGCCGGAAAAACATTCCTTGGAATGTAGACAATGACCGTCTTTTACGTCTTCTTTTGCTAGTGTTCACATAGAGCAGTTATTGAAACAAGTAAACACAGGTTGCACATGTGACGTCAGACCATTTTTGTACACAACAAAACTTAAACCTTATTTCTGCAAATTTTCTCTTTAGTTAGACTTTTTGAAAGAATCTTTTTTCGTGACATATATCTTCACTGTCATGTGGACACGAGGCCAAATCGTAGATAATTATCTTTATTACATGGGCTACCCGGCTATGTGTGTACAGAAAGTCAGACTGTTGAGGGAACAACTCTCAGCTTATATCACACCAACTATTAGCTCAAAGATGCGGTTCACTCGTTTAACTGACACATTTGCAGTGGTCTCTAGTAGGAAGGAATGCCTTGTGAGTTGTACTCTGGGTACAGAAAGTCCTGGTGCTCCTGTTTCAGGATCTAGAAGATTGCCATTCTGACTGCAGGGTTTAGAGTCTTATTTCCTGATATTTGCACATCTCGACTCTGATTGGTCAACAGCAATGAGACTCTACCACTGACTCCATTTGCTTTCTTCATAAATCTTCATAAATAACACAAGCCTGGAGGAGTTTTGCCATGTTGCTAACACTTAGCTTCTACTAGAACGAGATGTTGCTGCTGTTTCCTGGACGCTAAACCAACAACAGTCTTCCCCGTCGTGAGTCAAGATGGGTGAGTCCATAAATGTTAACTGACAGCATTATATCACACTGTCAGACTTTTCAAATGCTACAGTTTCACCATCATTTACCGAAACATCTACCGAAGTCAAATTCCTTGTAAATGTAATTCTACTTGGCCAATAAATCTGAAATCTGAAATCTGAATCATTTTTCTGCCAGAAGCTAATGTAGGAGATAGATGTAGGAGACTTTTTTGCTGTTCACCCTGCACGAAAAACACAGAGTGACTGATTATAATCAGAAATAACCATTAAAATATGGGTTTTCAGTGAACTACACCTTTAATATTTGTAGAACTGATTGAATTTTAGTCATTTCTGTGTTGGCTAAAGTGACCAACTGTGGCAGCCATCTTAGGTTGAGTTCAAACAGTAATCAGTTGTGTGTTGGTGGCGATTCTCAGTCATCCACGACATGATAATCTTAAAAATTGGTAGTATGATGTTGCTGCGCAAATAGGAAATGCTTGTGTTTAATGTGACACCTTAATTCACATCACCCTGTCCTAAGCATGTGTGACAGTGTGAGCGTCCTAACACAGTGTCCCGTTTGATCATGCGCCCTGGCTCCTTGGCTAAGGGGATGTTCCTTTGGCTGACTGGTTAGAGCGTATGACTCACCCGGGAGTCTGGGGATCGAATCCCGCCCGGGCCCTTGTTTCTCCACCTTGCCACATATGCTTTAAGATTCTGAGTTGAAGACAAACCTCCTCCACAGGGTTTCATAAATAATTTGATCACAAAGGTGTTTGTTGAAATATGGAGGCAGAACCAGCGCTGAAGTCAAGAGCTGCTCAAAATATCAAAATGTTACAAAAAGATGCTGCAGGGCCCTTTTTTTATTTCTCCTTAACCTCCAAAGCAAAGGACCTTTTTTATTATTAAAACTGCAGCATATTGGTTTCTCCTGCAATATTGAGAGACGTTAAGATCAGAGGGCTATGACTGACGTCACATCACTGCGCAGTCGGGTGCAAGTCTGTATCTGTTTGGACTGTGTGTCTAACGTCTTCTAATTTTATGTTTCCATGATCTCAGTACTTCTTCCACCAAGATCAAATAAGTGCGAGTAGATAAGTCTCAAAAAATTTGATTCAAAATCAGACGCACTCTGCTGTTCGCCTTTGTCAGCTTCAGAACATTTACAACAGGTTATTTTTTTTCTAATTTTCTTTTCAAAGAAGGACGTGGGATGGAAAATCTCATTGTTTCCCTTCCAGGAAGTGACCATGAGGCGCTGCACTTTGGCCAGTAAGTCAGGTTTCTGCTCCATCACAGCAACTCTGACTTCATGACAATCTAACTTCACCTCAAGGGTAACTAATGAAGTAAGCCAGAGCCATCTCCAGTGATGTACTGCAACAGCAGATTACCCAAGAAGTTTCCATTGTAACTGTAATCTGAAAGTCTGTTTATTCTCCTAAATTCCCATTCGAGCCTTTTCAATGTTTTATTAGACTTGTATAGCAGTTTATACTGGAGGAGTGGCTTCTGCAGACCCACGTGCCCTCAGTATTATCAGATATTTCTGGGTTAGACCACCAGTTCTGACAAGAGTTCTCCATATTACGATGTTAAATAGTTTAAACTGAAAGTTGCCATGTTCAGAATGAGATTTTGGTCCAAGTAAGAGAAATATTTTGTGCAAGAAGACAGGAAGTTGCATGTGGCCTGCTCTCGCTTCTATATTTATACACACACACTTCATGCATCTGTTTTTATAGAAGAGACGTTCTGAATGCGAGATGCCAAGCAGGAAGCAACACTGCATTTCTCAAAACCACTGCAGAGATATAAAGAGGCCTATTCCAGAGGTAAAAGAAACTGAAGACCTATGTGTATAGCAAATTCAGTTCTTTATTTACAACATCTTTAATAATCAATGAGACACACGGTGTAAATAGAAAAAAAAAAGACACCAAGACAAAGATGGCGACTAAACTCCCTGAGCTTTACAAAAGCAATGTGGGACCTGTAGGTGACATGATTTATACACAGCCCTAATGCCACACAGATTAAAACGTTAGTCATGCGTCTACAACAATAAAACATTGTTCACCAAGTCCTCTTGAATGAATTGTGAAAAATGAAACCGGCAGATAAAACGACAACACTCCAGCGAACACCTTTTGGTAAATGCCACTTTCAGGTCTTGCCTTTATGGTTATGCAAACTAATCCCACAGGGCAACCAGAATCTCGGAGTCAAAGTATGGCTGTCATCAAAAAACAGGAAGACTTGGAAAAGAAAGTTGTTTCAGCACATCACTAAACTTCAGGGGCTCACGCGCTGGAACATGCGTTTACATCCTTCACTGGGTCTGTCGTTGCTTTATTAAGTGCTTTTGCTTCGAAAATTCCCCCCCCCCCCCCCCCCCAGCTTTCCCATCTGAACCTTCATGCTACATCTAAAGTTTGCTTAGTCATCCAAATACTGCTTCATAGAGGCCAATGTGATGACAGAAATAAGCATTCCTCTGGTGTCAGTGCCTGTAAAGTGAGTTCAGTTACACAGCAGAGTAAAATACACAGCAGAGTAAAATGCACCCCCTCCCCACACACACCCCTTTTCTTGTTCTCTGAATCCACAACTTTGAGAAAAAACAAAAACATACACTGAACACCCAATCCTCCAAAACAAAACTCCCTTCTAAAGAGAAGTCTTCAAACAGCAGTGGCAATAATTATTAAAGCAAATAAAATAAAATAAAAACAGTGTACTGTACAATAATCCCCACAGGTATCACAATAGTTCTGCACATAAGGATGAAGACATGTCAGCCATTCTGGAGTCCAGTAAGTGCAGCAGGAAGCCCCACAGAGCTGGTGATGATCTGCTGCCGTGTGATAGAGCATCGAGTTGAGACATGACCGTGGACAACAAATGAAGGAAGTGTGGCCAAGAGTTCTGCATCGTCCAATTGGCATCCATGTTGAAGGATTTCAGCACAAGATACATTGTGGATCCCTCTACCAGCTAGAGTGGTGTGTGTGCGTGCTTGTGTGTGTGTGTGTGTTCCTGTAAAGTGTAACCAATGTGTGAAAGTCCCTCAGAACCTGCGTGCACAGGTGCTGAACAACCTCTAGTGCTGAGAATTCTGTGCTGGTTGTCCATTTTGGTCACTGACATCAATATGCTCCTCTTCTTCCTCCTCCTCCTCCTCCTCTTCGCTGACCAGGAACTCATCAGGTGGCCAGCGAAGCTCTCCACTCTCAACGTCTCCTTCTGTCGGCTCAACCACGATGGACGGTAGACGATCTTTGAGCTTACAGCAGCGATCAAAATCCGAAGGGTCTGGGAATATCTGGAGGAGAAGCATAAAATGTTTTAGAAAAGATATTCCAGATGAGTCACTTCTCTCCTTCCTCACTAGTGCATGTGTACATCCAGCATCCCTTTACCTGCTGTAATCGGAGAGCCAAACAATAAGTCACTTGCAAGTAGTAATTGCTTAAGTGTTCATAAGAGCAAACATTTTCATGCAGTTTTATCTCACGGTCTTGAAAGTTTTTCCTGGAAGAAGCATGCAGAATTGCATCCTAGATTGGTTAAAATAAATCATCTCCCAGAGAGTTTTATGAAAAGATGCAGACTCTTCTAAACATGGCACGTTCCTGTTTGGCTCCAAGCTGAAGAGCATCAGATATTCCCCGTTCCAGCAGGATAAAGAACAAACCTCAGACTTTCTCAGGAAATCATCCCCCTAGGGAGGGGCTGAAAAGTAAAAGTCTGCCACTCCTGGTCCAAAAACAGCAGTTTCTTATGCCGTTTGGATAAAGTGGATGAATATTTTTAGATCTGCATATTTCACTCCGAGTCACTGGGGGTGGGGGCACTGTCGCTGTCTGGGCAAAGAGCCGAATGGAAAAGAAAGCTTTCTGAGACGGCAGATAAAGAGATCCAGCTGTGTCCGAGTCTTCCTGAATTCCAGAAAAGATAAACGAGGATCAGGAAAGATGAGCTATAAATAAATCAAAACTCAGGTGATTTAGGAGTGTTTTCTTGGGTAGACTCATTAGGACATAAAGGTCATTATGTGGATAATTATTGGGTGCATCTGCATTTTCTGTCCACATCAGTACTCTGTGCGTCAGCAGCAGGGAGTTGGACGGAGTGACTTTGCCTTAGGACAAGTGCACATAATAGGTCACTTCATTATTATTATTTTCAGGAAAATGGGCAGGGACAGCAGAGTTAACAGTCTTCGAGGTTTGTCTCTTAGTCCTAAGAAATCTGTTCACTTAAAAAAAGCATTTCAGAGAACATCTGGAATTTCATGCAGCTCAACTCCAGTTGGAGGAAGTGACGGGGCGCCATCGTAAGTCTCAGATGTTGGGCAAAAAGGTTGAGACGAGGAAATGCAAAAAGGATCAAGCAACATTCCGATGTTTCTTCTTCCTTTTCCCCTCATCCGCCCAAGACTCACAGCTGGAGTGAACCAAGTCTTCATCCCTTCCATCACTAGACTGCTACATTTCATCGCTAAACCAAATATAACTTATTTTGAAACAGCCAATTATTTCTAAACCAAACTCCTCAGAGTTAATTCAGCAGTGACACGCACCAAAGGAGGTTCAATAACAGCTCCTTTTGTTCCATTTCCTGCTTCGGTATAAAAGAACGCTAAAGCAGGCGAGCAGTGGGTAACTCAAAAATGGCCGACAGCGAAACAAAGCTCTGGTGTCAAAAACACCTGATAGTTGCTTTTCTGTTCTGTGAAAGCTGCTGGGTTTCAACCACACATCTGAACTTTGACCCGTCACGCTGCAACAACAGAATTCAATCAGCTGTCCAAATTCTTGTCATTTACATTTAAAACCCTCTAGAGTTCACAAACAGCCCCTGATAACCCTTTTTACAGTTCTGTTTGTACGGACGGTTGAAATGTCAAATCTACATAAAAGCAACACAACAAGGTGGGGATTTCGAGAGTCATGCTTCACCATCGTGTGTCTCCCACCTGGAAGGAGAGTCTGTCCTTGCTTGGGCTCAGCCTCATGTCCTCCATGGGGGTGCTGCTGATCATCACCTCAGTCATTTCTCCAACGGGCACAAACACTGGGCTGCAGGGTTGAAAGATGAGGCAGCCATTAGTGGTGTGATAATGGCACATTTGTCCAGACAAAATTCTCTAGAATGAAATATTTTCTCAACACAAAAAACAAAAAGGCATCTTAGCAGATTAGTGCAGAGCTTTAATGAGTTTACATTTGATGCGGGGGGTGGGGGCGGGGGGGGGGGGGGGGGGGAGATCGGGTAGCTCCTGCTGAGTACAAATGAATAATTAAGTTATGATCATTAGAAAATGTCAAATGGTAAACACCATGCAGATAAAGAGCAAAAGCTACAGTGTATTCACAACTGTTTAGTTCATGCTCTGAATCTTGACCACAAGGCCTTGCATTGCAAAGCTGCAGAGCTTGTGATGCTGCTTGCATGAGGCGACTGCTCCTAAACTCACTGATGTGCACTTACATTCGCCACCAGGCAACAGGCAGCGTGAGCGTGATGGGGCGGGCTGTGGTATAAATGCTCAAGAGCTTGATGTGGCTCGGACAAACTTTCCATTTCAATAGAAGGTGCAAGACTTTCTAATGAAAGCATTTTAATAGTTCAAGGCAAAAAGGACCCATGTCTTGAGCAGTCTCAAAGCAGACATGCTAGAAGTTTAGCAGCTTTCTCACACCATTTAAAGCCCAGAGCCTGGTGGTCTGTTGCCACAGGCGTGTGGTCACAGAGTTCTACACTTATCTAGAACAAAGAAATAAACATGACGGAGCGTTTGCTGGACTCCGACGTAATCGCCGCATGTACTCGTGTACTTTTGTTATGGTACAGGGTGCTCGACCTTGACTAGACCTACTCCAACAAAATCTTACTGTAGCAGGTTAACTAAAAGTGGGGATTAAAACATGATTTTATGGGATTATTGAAAAGCATTTCATTTTCTTCTCTTAAAATCCAACAGCAGGGAACTGGATGATGTTGGGATGTTTGAAGACACTTGTTCGTTTAAAATGTCAAGATCTACTCCAAGTCCCTTCAGCCATGAAACAAACTGTACGGTGAAGATCATCCTCAAGTTATGACTCAGATCAAGAATTTTTTACTTTTCTCAGAACACATTTGAAAGCCTATAATAGAAACAAATCAAGTTTCATGCTGATCTAAAGGCCAACACGAACCTTTCGCTCTCTTAGCGTCTTATTAGAACAAATATCCTGTTAAGTGTCTCATGTGAGGAACAGATAGGGTCATTCATGCAGCCTTGTAAGCCTTCAGGATCAACAGCCAGACTGTACAACCTTCAGAGGGATCATCAACTTCTCATCTCCTTCGATTCTATTTGAAAACAAGCAGCCATCTAATTACCCAAATTAGCAGGCAGCATGCTGATGACTCAGTCAGGTGACATGAGTCATTCAGTTTCAGGAGATCAAGAATTCTCTGAGGCGAGGGCAGTTTCCATCTATTCCACTTAAACATTTTCCTTTCACACATCAGGTCGCAGGTTGGCTTTAAAACGGAGTTCCAGACACTTAAAAATCAATGCTTGGCTGAAACGATGAGTAGAGGTCTAAAAAACACAAGAAAGGAGGCTTGATGTATGCAAACATGGGAAAAACATAGGTGACTGCTTTTGTGTCCATGTTATCCCTGAGTGATGTGCAGAGGAGGAGGAGGGCCAAGGGATAAAGAGCGACAGTGAAGACCTGAAGAGACGAGTAAAACTGGAGAAGGAAGGGAGTGAGAGGAAAGGGATAAACATTTAGGCCCTGCCAGTTATATTTCTGCTCAGGGATCATATAAACATCCTGCTCAGCTAAGAATAACAGAACTTTGACTAATAAAACATAAAGGGGCACAATGAGGAGGAAGTGGGAGTGCACCAGTGACAATGCAACCTGGGAAGAAACAAACACGCTCCAACCTCATCGAGCGTCAGAGGACCAACATGTCCTCAAGTGGAATACCAAACATCTAGAGGGTTTGGAGGTTCTCAGATAAATGTTGGTGTCAAGCAGAAGTTTATCTGCACCACAGAACATGGATCTGCCTGAATCTGCATCTTAACAACCATATTCCTACTTAATGGAGCACGGCTGGCAGGGCAGATGGCAGCAAATCTCTACCTTTTGACCTCGTCGACATAACCGACACCTGATCCTGCCAACTTCCTGATTCCACTGTCCGCGGGAACAGATACAAAGCAAGACGCCTCCACCAGCCATGTTCAGCACAAGGTGTGTGTGAAAAATCACATTACTAAACCCTGACACACTCTGCCATTGACATGTAGTTTGATACATTCACACATCCTCATGCCTTTCATAACAAAGTGGAAATAAAATGCTAGAAAAATAAAAATCCTTACTTTCCCTAAAATCCTAATGAGTCTGCAACAAGAGGCAGAGTCTTGCCTCAACACTGCTTTCCTTCTGCCACCCTGCAGCTCTTACTACCACCATAACTGTCAGCTTGTGTGGCTCTGCAGCAACGAGGAAGACCCCACAAGGGCTGGGGGAGGCTGTGGGTGGGCTTCAAGGCATCAACAAGCCCCTGAGGCTCTCTGATGTAGCTTAAGGTGTGAAAATAATATTTTCCCGTTCACCGAGAGTGAAAACATCTATTTAACAGAGCTCATCATTCCAGTTGAGGTCAATGAAAATATGGTTTAAAGAGATTTCTCAGCGTTCACATTACGAGACTAACAGGAGGAAAGTGGCTGCAGTGAAGAGCTCCACTTCCTGGAGAAGCTTTGAGGTTTTAAGTTTCAAAACTATTTCAAAGCAACGTGCACATCCTGTCTGCAAAATAAGCCTTTTTATGCATAAAGAAATATCGGTCATATCATGTGTAGAAAAAAATAAACTCAATGATACCTACAAAGTCTGCAATGCACCTGCAAAACAGGAATAGAAAAGGGGAAAAAAACATGATTTAATTGAGAAAAATTTAAAAGACAGCCTCTAATAAACCAGACAGCTGAGGATGGGAAATAAAAAGATAACTTAAAATTTCCTACATCTCTAATCCGCTGCATTTTCCAACTTATGGGGCAAAACCAGACAGAAAATCTCTAAAGGAAACAAAGAGTGGGTGTAGTAACAACAAAAAAAGGTGGCTGATTCAGAGGGGAATCACCAAACTAAGTCAACCACAGGCTGTCATCTTTCTTTCCAGCCATCTACAGAGCTGACATGTTTGGTAAGCACGGCAATAACGCAAACGCAGCTCAAACCAAACCTGGAGTGGTGAAAAGACGAGAGAACTCACCAGTAGATCTGCGGGGGGAATACAGACATGAAGTCACACCTGCTGCCACTTCTGCTGATTAGGAGGTCTAATTAGGACAACTGCTGCCGCTGACTTCTGTCCTCTCAGGCTTTTCTGACTGTTTCCGTCCTGCCAGGTAATAGGTCACCTAGAACTGAGGAAGGGAGAATAAACCGAAACAAAGAGGCCGACAGGTGGAGAGAAGCTTCTCCGATTGACGCGACTGGTCAGAGACACAGCTGTGGAGTCTATTTAAGCGCGAGGCGTGCGCTCGGAGACGCGCCCCTCCCACTCCAAAAAATCTTCAATGGCAACTCATTAGAGGCGGCAGCCAATCAGGGGACTTAGGCCACGCCCCCTTCTCCAGCCCGGATGACGACAACAGCGACAGAAGCTGCTCATTGGGGATGGAAGAGAAGATGCTGCAACATGCGATTGATTGATTTGTAGTCTCCAAGGCAACATAGCGAAAGTCTTAGCTCTCACTTGAATGACAAAAACACGCTGATCTGCCCATTTGGTAATCTGTGACATTAATCCAAATGAGGAGGAGCTGCCTGGATTCATTCATAAATATATCCAAGGGCAAGTCAACGTCTACCTGCGAGACGTCTACTAATAAAACACATCACAGATAATCTCTCTGATGTTCTGCAGCATCTCCCAACCTAATCATCAAAGTCCTACAAGCATCAATGCTCTGGATTGCATGTCAAGGCTGTGACCTTAGCAGATAGTTGACCTTCACATCTTCCAAAATGACTAGTTGCGTTTTTCTCCCCGGCACACAGTGTTCTTGAACATTTGGGTCACGTAAAGGAGGTGCTTTGCATTGGGTGTACAGGCAGAGGGTAAAATACAGGTGGGCCGCCACTGCCACCTTGTGACCAAGTCCTCAGATGACTCGCATCTCCTAGAGCTGACTTGTAAACAATTTTTTTCTTAATTAAGGCAAAGTGAAAAAGCAAACAAAAACAAATGCTAATAAATTACGTTGCTTATGGTGCAATGTTGGCTTTGCTGAAACAGATAAACAAATCATGCATCCTCCTGTTGGTGCAGAAACTGATAAAAAAACATATTAGTATAACATTCAGTTCACTCCAATCCATTCTCCTTGTTATGTTCTTTCTATCTTTCTTTTCAATCTCCATTGTTTTTTTCTTGCTTAATACACAGCATAGCAACGTTTTTACCTTGAAGTGCTGACAGTTTTGTAATGTGATGTTTATTTGACATGGACACAGCAATTACATTGGACAAACCAGATGCATTGTTTAGTGTGTTAGCACATGTGCTAATTTGCAACGCTTGTCCACAGAACCTTTCTAAAAAGTAGAGTACATTTAAATAAAATACGAAGAGATCAACAATGAATCAAACAGAAAACAGATTAAAATTTCAAACAAAGTTTCAGGGTCACAAGAAGATGGCGATTGTGTGACGCCAAAACTGTCAGCAATTCAAGATAAAACTTTGCTATGCTGTTATGCAAGAAAAAAGACCAATGGACATGGAATGTAATGAAAACATTACAAATAATTTATAAAGTTAAGACAAACACCTTACCAATCAATATCCATTTAATGCTTGAAAGAAGGACTAATCGGTATATGTTAAAAGAATTAGAAATATTTAAACAAGCGAGATTCATAATGGAAGTCAGTACTTCAGTAAATGGTGTTGGACTTTGGAATAACCTCAGCACTAACATAAGAGAATCAAAATCCCTGAATGCTTTAAAATGGATAAAATCAAGGGTACTAAAGGATTATAAGAACTAGATTAGGGTTTGCAACTGTTTATGTAAATTAGTGCAGGAATATTGTTATTTGACCTTGTGCTGGTTTATCACATTAGAGGATATTGTCCTTGATAAATTAATTGTGGTTTGAATTTTTCTTGTTTTCTTTTTTTTCAGATTTTTTTATAGTCTTTTTTTCTTTTTTATTTACCATTTCTCCTCTTTAACTTGTGTTGCATGCAAGGACACCATGGATGTTTTATGATTAGAAATTACAGTTTGTAAAACAGACAGATTCATTCAACAACAGATACATTCAAATCATGCGTCGCTGTTTATGTATACTTTGAAATTTGCATTTAAAACTGTATTTGTTGTTGAAATGAATGAATAAAGAAAGAAACAAACAAAGAAATTCTATTCGATCAAAGCACAACAGAATAGCTGAAGTCAGATTTTATATTTTTTATCTTACAGTAGGTCTTGAAAATGAAAGAAAATCTTTAAAATTTTGAATAAACTGGTGATTTTAAACTACATCGCCATCTTGTTCCACTCAGTTGCATCATCCCACCCACCAGATGAATAGAGGGCCCTGATTGGCCCACAAAGCTGATAGAGCGCTGTGATTGGCTCACCACTGTGGACCAGTCACAGTGCTCTACTCATTTGAAACCCCCATAGAGAGCTGTGACTGGCCAGCCAGAACGCTGCTAGGCGCTGCGGAGGCTCCAATGGAGCGCTCCTAGACCAAACTTTACAAAGCATGAATTTGGTCTAGTTCACCAGGCTTTCACAGGGCCTGTCACTCGCTCACACCTAGCGGTTTCCAGTTACCCTAAACATGCAAATTTTTGGCTTGTGGGATGAAGCAGGATGAGGAGAACATGCTAACTCAACAGTATAAGGCCATAAACAGGATTTGAAACTTCATCCTTCAGTCAAACTGTAACTGTTTACAATCACCTTTCAACAAAAAGCTACCTTGTAAGTTCTGAACCCACTCTAAAAGAATGTTCTTTATTGCAGTTTTAAACCATCCGTCTCCATCTGATTGATTCTGTATTCACATTGTTTTTGTTGTGCGTGTTTCTGTCCATCAGTGTAAGCATGTGCAGACTCACAGCTTCACCCTGTCAGGACATTTGGCGGAGTTTATTTCCATCTCCTACACACAAGTGAGTGTTTGTGCATAGCTGAAGGATGTCTGATCTCGGGGCTCGCAGCATGCCATGCTTACTTGCAGGTGGTCTGTCCACATGCAGGGTCCCTGCAAATGTAATATTTCATACGAGTGCAGCACACCCTTGGACGCCATCACTGAGTCCACATGGTCATCCAGAAAGCTGCTCTGTGAGCTCTACTCTTCACCATGCTGCTTGCTCACTCGCTGGGCCTCACGATTAAAAAGCTAACCAAAGTTACAGATGTTGGCAGCTGTCTTAAACCCATGAAGTGCCACTCCAAGGATCAGTCACAAGGGGAAAAATAAGCAAAAAATACCTGGATAAAAAGTAAAGAACACAGCAAGAGTTTTCCCAAGTATTTTTATTTTAAGAGGTTCCAGACAAAGCAGCTACACCTTCAGCTTCAATAGTTGTAGTACTTCTTTTGCTCATATGTGCCACATAAACTGGAAACCCTTGTGTTTTCAGGACCACCTTGCAAAACATAATGTTGAGGATTGGAGTTCAGGTCTGAATTTCTTTCATCAGTCATCAGACACCAATGAGGCCAATCCTTGTTCTGTGTTTTGCCGTCAGTTTTATTATAAAGCAGGGTTCCAGCCAAAGAGAACAGAAGGAACTTCACCAGCACCGTTATTCAGAAAGGTCAAACCTGATTTAAGTTTGAAGGCAAAGCCAAAACAGGGCATCTTGAAACTGTTAGGAAACTATTCCAGATCTTAAACAGACCAGGGGGACTGTGTACATCTCTCTAATTGCACATGTCAATTTATGTACAAGCACCAGGTTTATAGTCAAGCTCCATTACCCCTTCTCCTGCCCGAACCCGCTCCTCCTCACTTCTCCATCCACTCTTAAACAAACTCTGCTCCTTGGACATGAAAACCATACGACATTACTGGAAATCACTGAGTCCTAAATGCTGCAAACACTCTGATTCCACAGAGTTGTAAGAAATACTCTCGGGCAGGATGTGAACAACAACATAACATTCACAGCTTGGCAGTTTATCGGTGTTGTGTGACTTTTTCAGGAACGATAGATGAATTGTGGAAACTCAAGATAGCGTGGCATTAATTCGTTTCCAGCAACAACTCTCAAATATTTACCGTGTTGGGCTGAGGGACAAACGAAGACCTCATGTGGAATCTCCCAGAGTTTCAACTGAGCAGGTGAAAGTTGATACTCAGTCCTCGTACATCAGAGACATTTTAATGCATTGTCACCAAAATCCTTTTCTTTGTCTTTTCTTTTTCTTTTTGAAGACTGACTACATTAATTTGGAAGAAAGATGAAAAAATTCTCTTATTGTTTGGATATTTTTTGTCTAGCTCTTCTCTACAGAGCTAATGCCGCCATATTGGATGGTTGTTAAGGTCAAAGGTTGGAAATTTTCCTGCAAGAGTGTCTGTTGGGAACATAAAACAAGCAGCCGAACAGCCCCAGACCATTACACTACCATCTAGCCTGGCAAGCCAGACTAATAAATGTATTATTTGGTCTTAGGTGAAGGGTGAGACAAAGAACGGTTCGAAGGATCTTTCATGGCGGTTAAAACGAAGAGTCGGAGTACCCGGCCCGGAGGGTTACCGGGGTCCCACCCTGGAGCCAGGCCTGGGGTTGGGGCCCGTGAGCGAGCGCCTGGTGGCCGGGCTTTCGCCCATGGGGCCCGGCCGGGCCCAGCCCGAACCGGATACATGGGCTCGTCCAACTGTGGACCCACCACCCGCAGGAGGAACATGAAGGGTCCGGTGCAATGCGAATCGGGTGGCAGACCAAGGCGGGAGCCTTGGCGGTCCAATCCCCGGACAAGAAAACTAGTTTTTAGGACATGGAACGTCACCTCGCTGGCGGGGAAGGAGCCGGAGCTTGTGGTAGAGGTTGAGCGGTACCGGCTAGATATAGTCGGTCTCACCTCGACACATTGCATTGGCTCTGGAACCCGAGACCTGGAGAGGGGTTGGACACTCTACTTTGCTGGAGTTGCTCCGGGTGAGAGGCGGAGGGCTGGGGTTGGCTTTTTGTTAGCCCCGAGACTCTCTGCCTGTGTGTTGGGGTTTACCCCGGGGGACAAGAGGGTAGCTTCCTTGTGCCTTCGGGTCGGGGAACGGGTCCTGACTGTTGTTTGTGCTTATGGGCCAAATATCAGTTCAGAGTACCCACCCTTTTTGGAGTCCCTGGGACGAGTGCTAGATAGTGCTCCATCAGGGGACTCCATTGTCCTGCTGGGGGACTTCAATGCTCACGTGGGCAATGACAGCTTGACCTGGAGGGGTGTGATTGGGAGGAACGGCCCACCTAATCAGAACTCGAGCGGTGTTTTGTTATTGGACTTCTGTGCAAGCCGCAGTTTGGCCATAACGAACACCATGTTCGAACATAAGGATGCCCACCGGTACACTTGGTACCAGGGCAGCCTAGGTCACAGGTCGATGATAGATTTTGTAGTCGTATCATCTGACCTGCGGCCGTATGTTTTGGACACCCGAGTGAAGAGAGGGGCGGAGCTGTCAACTGATCACCACCTGGTGGTGAGTTGGATCAGATGGCAAGGGAACATGCCGCGTAGACCTGGCAGACCCAAACGCATAGTGAGGGTCTGCTGGGAACGCCTGGCAGAAGAACCTGTCAAGACGGTCTTCAACTCCCACCTCCGGCAGAGCTTTGACCACGTCCCGAGAGCAGTGGGGGACATTGAGTCCGAGTGGGCCTTGTTCCACTCTGCGATTGTCGAGGCGGCTGTTGCTAGCTGTGGTCGTAAGGTGGCCGGTGCCAGTCGTGGTGGCAACCCCCGTACCCGCTGGTGGACACCAGAGGTTCGGGGAGCTGTCAGGCTGAAGAAGGAGGCCTACAGGGCGTGGCTGGTCTGTGGGTCTCCGGAGGCAGCAGACAGGTACCGGATAGCCAAGCGGGGTGCAGCAGTGGCAGTTGCCGAGGCAAAATCTCGGGCGTGGGAGGAGTTTGGTGAGGCCATGGAGAAAGACTATCGATCGGCTCCAAAGAGGTTCTGGCAAACTGTCCGGCGCCTCAGGAGAGGAAGGCAGCAACTCGCTCACACTGTTTACAGTGGGAATGGGGAGCTGCTGACGTCAACTGAGGCTATAGTCGGACGGTGGAAGGAATACTTTGAGGAGCTCCTCAATCCCACCAATGCGCATTCCGAGGAGGAACCAGAGCTGGGAGGCCTGGGGATGGACTGTCCGATCTCGGGGGCAGAAGTTGCTGAGGTAGTCAAACAACTACACAGCGGCGGAGCCCCGGGGGCGGATGAGGTTCGTCCTGGGTATCTCAAGGCTATGGATGTTGTAGGGCTGTCATGGTTGACACGTCTCTACAACATTGCGTGGTCATCGGGGGCAGTTCCTAGGGAGTGGCAGACCGGGGTGGTGGTCCCCATCTTTAAGAAGGGTGACCTGAGGGTGTGTTCCAACTATAGGGGGATCACACTCCTCAGCCTCCCTGGAAAGGTCTACTCCAAGGTACTGGAGAGGAGGGTCCGATCGATAGTTGAATCTCAGATAGAGGAGGAGCAATGTGGTTTTCGTCCTGGCCGTGGAACTGTGGACCAGCTCTATACCCTTGCAAGGGTGATGGAGGGGGCATGGGAGTTTGCCCAACCAATCCACATGTGCTTTGTGGATTTGGAGAAGGCTTATGACCGTGTCCCCAGGGGCACCCTGTGGGGGACGCTCCAGGAGTATGGGGTGGGTGGCTTTCTGTTAAGGGCCATTCAGTCCCTTTACCAGAGGAGCGTGAGTTTGGTCCGCATAGCCGGTAGTAAGTCGGACCTGTTGAGGGTTGGACTCCGCCAGGGCTGCCCTTTGTCACCGGTTCTGTTCATCACTTTTATGGACAGAATTTCTAGATGCAGCCGTGGTGTGGAGTGCGTCGAGTTTGGTGGCAGGAGAATCTCGTCTCTGCTTTTTGCGGATGATGTGGTCCTCCTAGCTTCATCCAGCTCTGACCTTCAGCTCTTGCTGGGTAGGTTCGCGGCCGAATGTGAAGCGGCTGGGATGAGGATCAGCACCTCCAAATCTGAGACCATGGTTCTCGACCGGAAAAGGGTGGCTTGCCACCTCCGGGTCGGGGGAGAGGTCCTACCTCAAGTGGAGGAGTTTAAGTATCTCAGGGTCTTGTTCACGAGTGAGGGTAGGAGGGATCGGGAGATCGACAGGCGGATTGGTTCGGCGTCTGCAGTGATGCGGACGCTGAGCCGATCTGTCGTGGGGAAGAGGATGCTGAGCCAGAAAGCCAGGCTCTCGATTTACCGGTCGATCTACGTCCCAATCCTCACCTATGGTCATGAGCTTTGGGTAATGACCGAAAGAACGAGATCGCGGATACAAGCGGCCGAAATGAGTTTCCTCCGTAGGGTGGCCGGGCTCAGCCTTAGAGATAGGGTGAGGAGCTCGGACATTCGGGAGGGACTCGGAGTAGAACCGCTGCTCCTCCGGATCGAAAGGAGCCAGTTGAGGTGGTTTGGGCATCTGGTCAGGATGCCTCCTGGACGCCTCCCCGGGGAGGTGTTTCGGGCATGTCCTGCCGGCAGAAGGCCCCCGGGTCGACCCAGGACACGTTGGAGAGGTTACATCTCCAATCTGGTCCGGGAACGCCTTGGGGTCCTGCCAGAGGAGCTGGTGGACAAGGCCGGGGAGAGGACGGCCTGGAGCTCCCTAGTTGGGATGCTGCCCCCGCGACCCGGACCCGGATAAGCGGAGGAAGACGAAGACGACGAAGACGGTCTGGCAACGCTCCATTGACGGCTCTCGGTTGTGGGGCGGGTTCTACCGTTGTCTTTCAAATGATCTCCGCACGCTACTGGACAATGAATGTGACATACTCTTGTTTCACTCTGTTGCATCATCCCACCCACCAGGCATACAGAGTGCCCTGATTGGCCCACAAAGCGGATAAAGCTCTGTGATTTGTTCACTAAGCAGATAGAGCACTATGATCGGCCCACCATTATGGACCAATCACAGCTCTTTATGTGTTTGAAACCCCTCTAGAGAGCTGTGATTGGCTAGCCAGAATGCCGTTGGGGCTGCAGAGGTTCCAGTGGAGCACTCCTAGACCAAACTTTGCAAAGCAAGAATTTGGTCTAGTTCACTAGGCTAACTACCATCACCATGTCTGACTGTTGATATGTATGATGCAGGTGGGTTAGGGTTAGGGATCACGTTTCAGAAAGTTCTAACTCCAAGAGGTATTTTCTCAAAGGTCTTAGGGATGTTCTGGTGTTTTTTTGTTTTTTTTGGTAAATATGAGACCTTTGGGTTATTTTTTTTTTTTGTTGAGTAGAAGTTTTGACCTTGGAACTCACCCATGGAGGCTGATTTAGCCTTATTCTTATTGTTGAATCATGACTTCTGACATTTACCTTAATCAGGTGAGGCCTGCTGTGCTTTAGACTTTCTTGTGTTTATTAATAGTTTTAGAACAGGTCATGATGTTTTGCTTCTTGAGATCTTATAGTCTACTTTTGACTAACAAACAGGTTCTAAATGACCTCTCATTTCTAATTAAAGGTACAATATGTAAGATTTTTACAGTGAAATAATCACAAAACTGTCCAATGTCTCAATTTTGTTGGAAGAAAGGTTAGATTGAAACAGATTTTCTTCTCAGCTGGCTGGGGCGTTGTCAGCTTCTTTCAAAAAACTTAAAAGAGCCATAGTCATTGTTAACAATCTGTGAGCCCACAGGTTTGCTAAATCTGCGCCGATCTGACACTGCATTTTAATTTTGACACTGGCTGACAAAAAGCTCCAGAGTTATTTAAAGAACCAAAGTCGGTAAACAGGAGTGACCCAGAAGTTATTTCTTGTTCTCTTAAAGCACAGGCAGACTGGCAATCTGAGTTCTGCAGAATCTCAGATCGGCCGGTTTGCTCTAGGGCTGGTGGCTGTGCGCCAGGCTGTTGTCGGCGCCCACTCCACCCCCCATCGAAGGATCGAGCAGACTGCAGCAACGATCAGCCTCCTCCAACCCGCTCGGATAAGTTAACACAGAGGGCTCTTCCAATAGATTGAGAAATTCTAGAGCTGAGTTATCATCCCAGTCCGCCCCTGATCCATAACTGGCAAAAGCCATGACAGTAATGGAACGGGAGTGAGAAAGTCTCTTGTTTTGTTTCGAAAATGGGAGGGAGTAATCAAGTTTGACCAAAGGACATCATTCCCACTTAATTCTTACAAAATACACCTTTAAGTGATATTTTCTTTGATACATTTCACCACACTATATTACTAGTTTATACTTCATCTTTTAATTAGTTACTTGAACATTTTAGTCGAATGTGAAAAAGAAAGTAGATGTTCAGCTTACATCCTCAGAAACACACTCTGGCCGTCTGCACCGATGCAAATACACACACACAATTATTTTCACAGCATCGTCTTATTGTCTGCGCTCAAGCTTTTCTGGAAAACCACAAAAAGCCATGCAAGGCGAGCAATCGTCCCTTGCATAACATGCAAACTAACATGTGACAAAGACACAAAAACAACATATAATGTGCTAAATCAAGTTCACTATTTAGAGTTTAAAAAAAGGCAATGTCATAAAACTTGAATTGTTTAATTCTTTGCATGTGCAGCATAATAAAACTGACTCTGGTGAAAGTTAGACTCAACTGTTTGTCATTTCCTTTGAGTGGCCAGGAATGCCGTGACAGTCATTTCCAAGAAGCAGCTGTGTTGTAGTGTTTGTTTTTGTGGAGCTAAATGAGCGATCATTAATCCCACTGTGTGTGTAAGGTGGCTTTCATAGCAGTCATAATGACTCCAGACACTAGAGGGTGGCCTCTTCAAAGAAAATTAGCTGCTTTCGACTTCACACTGATCTGATCAGACGTCCAACTCTACTGGTAATATTTCAATATTTCAGTATTGAAATATCTTTAAAAAGTCTAAGTTTTTGTGATTTACTAGCAAAGGCAGATGAGATGTCTTCTGGGCTTTTAAAAAAAGGAGGAGAGATGGCAAAACATGTTTGCTCACTCAAAAAGGACACACTGTTTTCAGCATAACAGCAGGAGCTGCAGAGGTTGGAGGGTGAGAGGAAGGAGCAGCGAAGGAGTCTGGAGGCCACATGTCAAACTCACCGCTCGGCGCTGAGATTCTGGAAACTTTTGTGTTAAACATCGACGCAGAGGCTGAAAATAAGCCTTGTGCAAATACAAGGATTGGGTGGCAGACGAGTAAAAACGGGCTCCAGATGGGAGTTTTTCCAACATCCTCCTTCTGATCCATCCAGCTCTGGGTGGAGTGTGGGTCAAACTCTATGAGGAAAGCTATAGGAGGAAGAAAGCAAGTTACTGAGGAGTGGATAATATGGCTGTGTTGGTCCTCAAAACATGTCAAATGACCTCACAAATGAAGGTTTGGTACAGCCTGATTACTCAGCTCTGTTTGCTTGATAAGCTGAAATGGAGAAAGCAGGTGAGAACTCCTCCAAGCGAAGAAAGTGCTTGAATCTGTCAGTAATGAAGGGTTGTTACAGTAGGGTTACACTGTCAGCTTCCTCATTAAAACACTGACCTGGGGTTATTGCACTTTTCACAACTTTTTGCCTCAGAATTTGTTATTTACTAAGAGTTTTGAGTCACTGGAAAACAGAAACAATATTCGTGTTTTTTGTGGTAGAAGGAGTGAAAGAAACAGCAGTGCTCAAAATCTCTCAGAGAAATCAGACAAATACTTTGGATCTTAAACAAGCTCAACGCATCCAACTTCTGCAAGTAATTAGGAAAGCATCAGCACCATTTACCCACCGGCTCTGATGTTCTACGCCCAAACCTGTCGCCTTTCCTGGTGCATGAACACACTTGAGTGACAAAGTCTGTAGAATTTCTGCAAACAAGAAGTAAAGCTGATCCTGCTCCACCGTGGGTAACCGTCATCATGCGGAGGGATCGGCCGGGCACAGGGGAACCACCACCGAGCTTGTGAAGTAGTTAGTGAACCTGCCTGTCTGCTGTCAGACTGCTGTCACACGCACATCAAGGCAAACATCAATACCCCCCATCCACCCCACCCCCGTTTCCAGCTCTATATGCACTGAATGCACATGTTTTGATTGCTGACGGCCATGTCAGGAGTCAAGTAGAGCCTCTTAAAATGTGGCCTAGGGGCAGGGGTCATCCGCTAATGAGTAAAAGCTTTTTTTTCTCCCTTTGTTGGCAAGGAAGGAGTAAGGAAATGTGCTCACTAGGTGGTAGGGAGGTGGGGAGGCGTAGGTAGGGGAGGAGAGAACGTGTGAAGAGATGGGTAGTGGCAGGGGACCAACAGGGGGGTGTCAGGAAGTAGAGGGAGAAGAGAGACAAGAGGTGAGGTCTCAGGTGAGAGGGGCCGATAATGATAAACGCTCTTTTCGTGACAGAAAGGTGGAGAAAATGGAAAAAGGCTGGAGGAAAGTTGAAAGTGAAACTATAATTTTTAAACTGGTGTCACACTGACCAGACGCATCCAGGGAGGGGTTTCAAGCTGACTTCTGTAACAAGAGTGGGTTGTTATGGCAACATCAAGAAGGCGAGGGAAGATGTTCATTTTTAAAGGTGTTTAAATGTCTCAGATTTCTACATTCTGCTTCTTTGCATTAAAATAATTTAAACGTTCACTTGTCGAGGTAATTCAACTTTACAATAATCGTGTTTGAATATGTGTGAAAGTGTAGAGGAAAAAATATTCAAAAGAGGCAAATAAACATATCAAATAAATTGTCTTCACTTCTCTTTCACTCCAAATGCAGAACAGATGACGTCCGGAATGCGTAATGGCTTCTGCATAGACCAGAAATTACGGAGTCCAGTTAGGGAGTTCTCACTGACTGCGGTGCGGATCCGGATGTGGAGCTCAGGAAAGTTTCTGCATGGAGTGTTTTTTTTCCGGATGCTGCATGCAGACTGTCATGAAGTTAGAAATTAATTTAGCCAGGCAGAAAGTGAGCTGTGTTTGAGTGAGGTGCCATCCATCCATCCATCCATCCATCCATCCATCCATCCATCCATCCATCCATCCATTTTCTGAACCCACTTGTCCACATAGGGTCGCTGGGGGGCTGGAACCTATCTCCAGCGATCAATGGGCAATCAGGTGGGGTACACCCTGGACAGAGAGCCAGTCCATCGCCAGACAAACAATCATGCAACCACACACACACACACACTCACACCTAAGGACAATTTGGACAGACCAATCAACCTAACAGTCATGTTTTTGGACTGTGGGAGGAAGCCGGAGTACCCGGAGAGAACCCACGCATGCACAGGGAGAACATGCAAACTCCATGTAGAAAGATCCCAGGCTGGGAAGTGAACCCAGGACCTTCTTGCTGCAAGGCAGCAGCTCTAACCACTGCGCCACTGTGCAGCACTGAGTGAGGTGCATTCGGCTTATTTCAAAATAAAACCTGCATTCTTTTTACCTGCTTTAGTTTTATTCACAGTTCACGGTGTATGATAGTTCTCATTATTTTTACTGGTGGATCTTTAACTGTATGAAGTCAAGGCCAAGGCTGCCCTTTGTCACCAGTTTTTAACTTTTATGGACAGGATTTCTAGGTGCAGCAAAGGTGTTGAGAAGATCTGTTTTGGTGGCTCCAGGATCGGGTCTCTGCTTTCTGCACATGACGTGATCCCCAGCTTTTGCTGGAGCAGTTCACAGCCGAGTGTGAAGCAGCTGAGATGAGAATCAGCTCCTCTAAATCTGAGAACATGGTCTTGAACTGGAAAAGGGTAGAATGCCTTCTACAGGTCAGGGATGAGGTCCTGCCTCAACTGGAGGGGTTTAAGTTTCTCAGAGTCTTGCTCACAAGTGAGGGATAGATGGATCAAGATATCGAAATGCTGATTGGTGCTGCGTCTGCAGTGATGCCGGCGTTGTACCGATCTGTAGTGGTGAAGAGAGAGCTGAGCCAGAAGGCAAAGCTCTCGACTTACCGGTCGATCTACGTTCCTACCCTTCTGGGAGGTGCTTGAGTTAGGCCCACTGCTCCTCCATATCGAAAGGAACCAGTTGAGGTGGCTCGAGCATCTGGTTAGAATGTCTCCTGGTGAGGTTTTTCAGGCACGTCCAACCAGGAGGAGACCATGAAGGACACACCGGAGGGACTGTTCTTCTCGGCTGGCCAGGGAACGCCTTGGGATTCCCCCAGAGGAACTGGCCCAGGTGGCTGGGGAGAAGAAAGTCTGGGCCTCTCTGCTTAGGCTGCTGCCCCACAACCCGACCCTAGATTAGTAGAAGAAAATAAATGGGTGGTTGGATGGATGTCAAATTCCTAATATTTTGGCGCTCTTGTGGGAGCAGATTTTCTGAGATTTTCGGCACACATTGGTGCAGTTGGTGTGAATGACAGTCCATCCGAAAACCTTGCTGAAACGAGACCGCATCCGTACCACATTTAGTGTGAAAGTGATTCTTGCCAGCTTCGTCTAATAGCATAGTTAGCACAGTTACTACCTAAATGTTCATTAAACATGTGCAATATATCTCACGTTCTGTATGATAAAGTTTCTGGTATCATGAAACCCACCCAAACATACTCAAATTGTTTTTCAAGGAGCTCGCTTGGATCACCCCGGTGGGCCAGAAATCCTGACGGCAGCGCGTAAATATGAGACTGTGTAGTTGACACACGAGGTGGAAAGAAAGCCAGACCTCCTCCTCAGAAAGTTAACCTTAAGTGCTGCAACAGAGAGCAAAGAGACCGTCTTTGTTTTCTCTGCTCATCTGATGTGGCCGTTACCTCAGCAGCAAGGAAGTGTGCGTGTGCTTGTTTGTGTTAGCAGTGGCGGGCTGTTTGATGGTTCTTTTAGTGCACTCCGGGAAACATTTGCCTGTGCATTGGATGAGCTCCTCCAGATGTTCCCATAATTCCGCTGCATGTGTATGTGCATGAGGTTGAAGTGCATATCTGAACGTATGAGTACGTGTGCACGTCCATGTGTTTAGATAGAATGAGGAGGGAGGAGGGCCATGTTTCAATTAGAGATGGGTAAACTGTTGATGTAATAGAAACTAAAGCTAACATTTACAGGCCCTGACTCTGTGATGTATCCCATTGTGACTCCAGTGGCATCGAGCCCAAAGTACTGTTCAGATGAGAGACAGGTCCGAAGGATTGTTTTTAAATTCCACATTATAGCTTCCAAAGTGCACTTCTGTGCTCTAAACACTTTTTAACGCACAATTACTGCAGACAACACTTTAAGAGGCCTTTAATTTCCCTCTCTTGTTTGAACTTTAGATGTCCTGCTGGAGTGTCAGTGAGCAAGACATGAAAGTCAGCTCCAGGCAAGCTGATCTGTGGCTGATCTGGGACCTTGACCTTTCCGTGGAGAGCAAAGTGAGCTAATATATGATTTTCTGTGCTACAAAACAGCCATAAAATCACTCACAGCTTAACGGCCAGTAAGAGACAAACCTAAACGCACTAAAGGTGCACACATACAACGCTGGTGACAAGACGAACAGTGGGAAAAAGTAGAGGCTGAGGGAGGACTGAACGTGTTTAACAGCATCCACCTGTCCTTAAAGCAGAAATCCGGAGTTTCCCCCTTTCTGGAATTAAGTACGATCCATAATAACTGCTCTGTTCTGTGATATAATGTGGGAAATACGTATTTTTTTTACTAAGCCCACACCTCCACGTCCCATAGAGCCAAACACAATTTTACTTGAATGTCGCTCAGCATTATCCAGTAGGATAATGGGAATGTACTTGCTTTCCAACCTCGCGTTGACACATGCTGCGTCGTGTTTACATAT